TAGCAGCATGGTAGATATGAAAYAGAGTCTCTTATTTCTGGAAATCAGTGAAAACTGGGCATTCACCTGGAAGCCCTACAATTGTTTAGATGGTAACATATTTTAGTCTCTAGTATTATAAGACTTGGATTTATTCATAATGTAATCAAATATATTTCCACTCCCATAATTTTTTTTTTTGGTACTTTGAATACAGGAAATATATTCAGCAGTAAAGAACATGCTTGCTGTCTGTATCAGATATAGGCACTGGCAAAGGAAAAAAAACGGAGCTTTTAAAGGACATTCATTTTAATCTTGCCAAAGATACTGGTTAAAACCAGTGGCTGAATTGACCATTGGCATAAATCTTTGACCAGCTTGTGATTTGCTGTTATTTTTATTATATTAGAGGGCTATCCTATCCAGACATACCATTTCAGAATACCAGGCTCTGTTTACAAGATTCAAAGTCCTGATCCTCAGGGGCCACTCTTGTTGCTGTCACTTCTGCACTGGGTTGAATTTGGGTATTTGTAATCAGTTGTTAAACCAAAATCCTGCCTCTTCTTGGAAAACGCTGGCAGAAATGCACTTTGCTCTAGTGTTGTCATGTACAGCACCACCTGATAAGAGGAAACTTGCACTTTTGACACCAATTTGATTCCTATTTTCAGATAGGGCAAAACAGGGCACTGTGTGAGCCCACATCTGAGGAGGCTGCGCTGCTGGGGAAGCCTGCCAGATGCCACAGCAGGTGCCTGCAGTGCAGAGGGCTGCCCCGAGGGGACCATCGATGGGGAGAAACCTCCTCAYGGCCAGGTCACATCTCACCACCAGGGCAGTCTCCCTTGGACCACCTTGTAGAGACTGAGGCTWGGGAGATGGGCTCTGTTTGGTTGTACCACCATCTGCATCCTCCTGCAGACCTGGGCCTCAGGGCATGTGCTGCCTACTGTAGTTTGWGATGCGCTTTACCTGCCAAATTCGGGTGAGGCTGCCCCATGCCTTACAAATACTAGAGACAAAGCAAGAAAGAACAGGCAGATCACAGAATGGTTGGGGTTGGAAGGGACCTCTAGAGATCATCTAGTCCAACTCCCCTGCTCCGCAGGGACACCCAGAGCACRKGGCACKTGGTCGCATCCAAGTGGGTTTGGAAGATCTGCAGAGAAGGATGGTGTAGTCACATCAGCTGTGATTTCTTTGAAAGCACAGAATGAGAGCACGGTTATGGTTGAGAGAATGAGAGCAAGTATGGTTGGAGGGGTCCTCTGGAGATCATCTAGTCCAACTCTAGAGCAATTTCTAGGTTCTGGGGAAGGAAAGGCTCAAGGTCCAGAGCAGAGCACCTCTCCCACCGGGAGTGCGCGGCGATGTCGGCCGTGCCGCGGGAGTTGCCTGTGGTGCTGAGCGAGGACAAACCCCGACAGGACCCGACGTGGTGCCGGGAGCTGCCGGAGTCTCCTGCCTCCCACCTGGTGGGCTCAGTCCATGCTGAGCATCCCAGTTGGCATTCCGATGACAGCCCGCGGCTCTACGGCTCTGTTGTCAGCCTCTCTCATCAGCCCGGGCGCTTGCTCTCTTTAAGCCCTGAACCTCCCTAACAGGGTCAGAAGCCCCTCTGAATGCTGCAAGCCCTGACAGAAACCTCTGAAGCCAGTGTTCTTGCTAAGGAGGGAGCACRAGTAATTTCTGCAGAGGAGCAAAGAGCTTCCTCAAGGCAGAGCTCTCACACCCTGCTGTGCTCCAGGTGCCAACGGAGTCTCCTGCATTTCCTAACAGCAGCACGATCAACAGTGTTATTAATCAACACCATTAATACCAGTACCAAATCCAGCAGCGTGTTGACCAGGCACTGTTTTGCTTCTCTAAAGTGGGCTTTCTTATGTTGCAGCCTAAATCAGCAAAAAAGTCAGGTTTCTTGAAAACATCTTTCACTAGGACCCCCGTAAAAGGGTCCTGCTTCAAGGAGAGTTTGGGAAGATTTGTTTCTAAATCAGGTCCCATCCCCCATGCACAGTGTTAAGCTTAAGTGGAACTACTGAATGTCTTTGAATGACATCTCTCCTAAAATGACATCTCTCCTAAAAAAAAAAAAAAAAAAAAGATCATTCACTTACCCGGGATTTGAATAATGGACTGTGTTAACAGACAGAGCAGGAAGACAAAACAATTCAGGAGACAGCAAAGAAATAGTGCCATTGGATTTTCAACAGGCTTCTCTCCGGAAAGGAAAACGCTATTTCTGTAGTATTCATGTGTATACCAAAACGCTAAATATAAAATCTGGGTTGGACATTAATAACTCTCTAGGTGCCTGCCAGACCACATTCCTTAATGAATTAACTGTTCTTCAAACCATTCTTTTTTCCCTTCCCAGAAGTCATATTTCTGCCTCCTGCTGTAGCAGTTTTTCTCCTTGATGTCTCTGTTCCTTCATTTATTACCAAAGCAGAAAGGGAAAGGGTAGAGAGCAGTAAGTGGCCAAGAGCAYGTGCCACCCTCTCTCCTGGCTGGATGCTCCAGCCGGGGGGAGGCCTGCCTGGCAAATCTCAACCCCCTGTAGCTTAACTTGGCATGGAGAGAGCAGTTCTTGGGAAGGGGATGGGAAAGGTGCAGGTGGTTGCAATTCAGAGTGCATGAACTGCTCTTGACTCTTCCCTCCCCCTCAAAAAAAAAACCCACCAAGTTCAATTCATTTGCTCAAGTTCTTTTTGGTTTCTTATTTTAGTTACCTTTGAGATAKGATATATGAACTTACCTATGGACAACAAATCTACAGAAACATTGCAGCCTMTGAAAGCACTTAAAAACAACTTGCCCCAGACTGGATGCCTGGAGACATYTCCAAATTCTTGCCGTTTTTGCCCCTCCTGCAATCGCAGCGCTGCTCCCTGCACCTCCCTGCTCTCCCTGGCAGAAGGAGCTGCCGGCAGCTGAGCCCGTCTTCCCGTGCCCAAAAGCTCTCCTCGCACCTGCTGCAGGTCATTGCTGGACACCTTCACATTTAATTTCCTCCCCTCCTCTGCTGTATTAAATGACAAATCATTTTGGAAAGAAAATGGAAATGCTTAACAATATAATTCTGAGTGGAGGGAAATTCAAGCAAGCTAATAATCCCATCAGTTATATGTTTTATAAGGTGTAGGGTTTCAAAGGCCACAAATACTTAAATATACTGAAATCTTAAGATCACAGATTCAACCTGGTGTGACAGGTCCTATGCTCCACTTAATGCCATGCATTTCTCTGACAGGGATCATGGGGAAGAGAAAGAAATATCTGCCGTTTGCATCTTGAAAGGCAATTTTGCTTTTCCCTTAGGCTTTTTAATTCTTTTCTTGTGGAGACTGAACTCTGGGATGCCTGGACAACTGCTCTTCAATAACTCTTTGCTCATAGTATGTTCCTCGTATATGCAGTGAAACTTGGGAACAACTGTAAAAAGCTCTTTTCTTCTGCTTTAGAAGATAGGTGAGCTCTGAAGCGCCTTCTGATTTAAGAGGAAAGTCCCGTTTTCAACAGTTGCACTTTCCTTTTATTTCTACAGATCAAACAAACCACAATTTGCCTGACACTTGGTTAAACAAGCAAAATTGCCAGCACCTCAATGCAACTGAGAAAAATCCCCTTTCCAAGAGCTAAAAGAGCTCATACAGTGGTAATATGTAGAAGATAAATGCAAACACATGATTAAAAACAATAAAAACTTAATTTTAGACTTTTATTTATTTATACTGTTCAGAATTATCCAAATTTAGTTTTTGCTGAATATAAATTTTCTACCCACGGTTTTCTATTTGTCAACCCTGGGGCAAGTACGAAAGACAGAACGAGCCAAACTCAGTGCTAGCTGAATTTCTGCTACCAATGGTTTCTGAGGAAAACGTTATCAGCAATGTCACTCACGTCATACTATCCTGAGAGATAACAGTAATGGCAACCTTAGGAAACTGCATACTTTTTCATTTTGGATACAAAGACAAGGCTTCACAGAATTACGTTTCTCTTAATAGCAAAGACCTGTTCGAGATCAAAAAGATGATCAAAGATCCACTCTGTGCCCCTCATATTGGAGATTTCTGGTTGTCGTCGGAAAAGCCCCCCGACATCGTTAGACTCAAATTCACTGTTGCTGTAACCGGGCTCCCCAGAGCAGCATTCAGCAGACAGAGCAGCTGTGGGCTGGGACCACGATGGCCCCTGCAAGGTAACGTGCTGGATCAGCACAACATCACCCTCGAGAACGGGATCTCTCCTCGTTTTGCCAAGTTGGATCTTTGCATACTACCATGGATATAGAAAAAGTGGCAAAGTCCATTAATTAAAGAGTTAATGAGATCCCTGCAGCTTAAAGCATAGTAATGATACAGATGAGCTGTAAATCATGACACAGCCAGCACAGAATCAGTTATTGCTGAATTAATTAAAAGCCCAGGTTTCCAAAGCTTAAGATGCCACTATTTCAGCTTCTAAATTACTGCAGGGAACTGCTACACACACACAAAAAAAATATATATATATCAACTAAGTGACCCTGAATTTGGGATAGACCATTGTTTTGGAGTACATCATCAAACGATTGGAGAGAACAGAGTGAGAGATTTGAATCGGGGAAAAAAACGTTTGCTGAAGGTAAAAAAAAAAAAAAAAAAAATCAAAAGCGACATTTCTTTTCCAGAAATCCTCGTGTTTGGCATCTGCAGACAGAACTGCAGGAGTTTACCATTTCCAGACAACTGAGAGGAGAGACTATAGATGAGCACAGGGCACAGTTAACGAATTAAGTGTTAAAGTAATGAAATTACTTCAATATCACACTAGAAGTTGTGGTAAAACCTAAAGACCTCTGATTTTTCAGACTTGTGTATAGTATCCGATGGTGCCTTTCTTAAGGCAAAAATACCAGAGAGGAGGCTGCAACCCACTTCCCCCTCCAACAGCATTGCCAACGTGTCCCAGCTTTGCTAGCTGTGAAGGGAAAGGATTTAGCAAGGCGTTCCCTGGGGAATTGGTACCTGTTTCATCGGGCGAGCTTGGCGAAGCGCTGTCCTGCGACAGCGTGGTCCAGCTGGAGTCCTCATCGCTCGGCGCCAGGTTCTGGATGCGGTGCAGCGCACAGTCCGTTTTGGCCCCCGTTTTCGGGTGGTCTTTCTTAGTCTCGGGACTCGAGGACACCATGGCCACCTGGCCATCCTCCGGGCTCGACAGCTTGTTTTGCTTGCGGGGCAGGACCTCTCCGTTGAGAAGGACGGTCGAGGCCTGGCTGTTGCTCTGGGCGCAGTTATCTTCCATGGCCACCAAGCTCTGCTCTAGCTCCCTAGCAGACGTCTCCAGATCTGCATAGTAATTTAGGAAGCTCTTGGTTCTCCTGGGCTGCGAGGGCAATATTTCACAGCCGGAGAAATCCTGCGGGATGGGCTCTTTACCTTCAAACTTCTCAGAAGTCACGTTGATGCCTGCAGTGGAGCTGAGGTTTCTGTTGGGATCCTGCTGTCCCTGCTCCGCCGCTTTCCGCAGCTGGTTTTCCCCGTTCTTCACCAGCTTTATGTTGGCGGAGCCGTTGCCCAGCAGGGGCTGCGCCGCCGGGTCGGAAAGGCCCATGGCCGCCTGGATGTTGGTCAGCGCGTATTTCTTCCTGCACTTGGGGGGCGTGCTGTTCTTGGCCTCCGTGTGCTTGATCTCGGCGTTGAGCAGCTCGTTGTGGGAGGAGCGCAGGGGCAGCGTGGTGGGCGGCGTGGCGGGAGCATTGCGGTTCACGACGTCCGTGGGGCTGCTGCTGGCCATAAACGCCGCCAACGCGTCTACGCCGGAATCGACTGCCAAGGCAAAGGAAAGGAAAGGCTCGTGAGGGACGCGCGCTACCCGGCACGCGCCGCGGCGCCCGGCCAGCGCTGCCCACGGCTGCTCTGCACCAGCAGCTACCGCAAACCAGGCGGGCCGGAGAACAGGCCAAAGCTCAGGTTGTTAGATAAGCAACAGGAGACAGGGAAAAGAGCGGAGAGATCGTGAGGAGCGTGGAGCTGGGAAGCGGGCAGAAGGCTTGAGCCTAAGTGAAGCACTTTAATCGTGACTGAGCTCCTGCCTGCACTCAGGCAGGACAAGGAGACAGGAGAGGGGCCCTCTGCAAATGCCTTGAAGTTCAGAAATAAGCTGTCCTCACTAAAATTAAATTTTAATATTTTACCATCATATCAGATGGGAGGTAGGAGAACAACTCTTGTAGTGCTCACTGCTAGCAAGCTGCAGATCTGAGAGGCATTTTTTGACAGGTTGCAGACAGATATTGCTCCTTTTTAACATTATCTGTATCTACTAATTATTATTTATCTACCAATAATGCAGAATTTGAGTATTGTTAAATTTAAGCCGAACTGGCCACTCTGCTATAGCCTCTTAAAACCTGAAATTTCTCTGCTGTTGGTCTCTTTGAGGGGGCAGAGACAGACAGTCTGAGACACAAGGCAAAGAAGAGGAACAGGGCAGGCCACAGAGGCACCAAGCTGTACCTTTTGTTGGCCACGGTACCGCACTACACAGCACCGTATGGGATTTCCATGAGGAATATTTTAAAAACCCCTGGCAAAATACCCTGCTGCAATTAGTCAGCTTAAAAAGAAAGGTCTGCTCCAGAGACAAAGCCAGCTTACTATTCTTGTAACTCACAAACTTCCAATTTAAGGATAAAATGCATGTGCAAGGGGAGGGTGCATGTGTTCTTCAGATAAATAAAACCACTCCCTTGTCTTCTTGTGGAGAAGACTGATTTCAGTCAGTCAGGGCTCCTGCTCACATTTTGCAAAAAATTAAGTTTGTTCAGAGAAAAGTCTGTTAAGTCTTACAATGAATTATTATTTTTTCAAACTATTATTTGTTCTTTTCTTGCTTATTTATTGCAATTCCTCAGGTAAATAGGGCTACCACTAATCTCCATGAACGCTCCATGAGCACCTCCATTTACAGTGCCAGTGTGGTAGGCACTCTTGTTTGACACCTGGCAAGTGAACTAGAGGCCAATTAATAAATCACTCCCATCTGCCACAACATGAAACACCCTTCCTGTTGTTCCTAATTCTCAGATAGTGCCAATTGCCTATATTRCACATAAAACCATGTCTGGGGCTTATCCAAAACCAAAAAGCTATAATCCGAGCTAGCCGATGACAGATGACTCYAGTCGAGATGTGCTGCATCCTGGTATGTTTTGATGCATGACAGCACAAACTGCTGTACAGATTTGCAGGAGATTACAGGCAGGCTTTAAAAATATACATACAAAGAAACAGAGCAAAAAGGATTGCTTCAGAAAGATGTACATGCATGTACACTGCTGGTCTTCTCTCCTCTTTACTGTTTCAAAGTTACCTACTTCTAATCATCATTCCATTTTACTTCAAGCCAAACAGACTTCTTTGATCCCTGAATTATCCATCTAGAATAAAACTTGTTCAGAACAGATTTTAAGCTCAGTTTTATACATTTTCTGGTCTGCCCCTTCCTCCAAGTCCTGCCTGTCAGTGCAGAGCAACTGCAAGCTCTYCAGAAGATTCGCTGTCCCACGCAGGCTGTGCGGCAGCCATCGGCTTAGCTAACAGCATCTTACACACCGCTTCACTCTCAGCCACAGGAGGTTCCTAACGCACAATCATCACATAATTTAAAAAAAGATCTGTAACGTACTTCTACCAAAAAAAAAGGTAAATATGTACGAATCGTGCTTTCTACATCGCAAAGAAAAACAACTAAATTGAACATAAGCAAGGTTACATCTGATCCAGCATAATCCYACCACAGCACACAGCTTAATCCAAAATCATGAGATGACCCATGTTTATGCTTTTTCTGAAATGCTGCTTTTATTTTATTTTTAATGCTGCCTTTTCTGAATCACTTGATGTTAACCTGCAAGTTGGATCACATTAACACACATTCATCCAGCAGGACACTTTGCCCGGCCTTCAGAATTTATGGAATTATATATAAATCATCTATGCATTTCTCTCAGATTATGTACAACATTTTGTGTATATTTTGAGCAAATTAAAACAACGTTTTAAACCAATAAACTTCACTGAATGCAACTACCCTGATCCTTGTTGTACAGCAATGTACTACTATGTGTAACGTGACATAGAGTGGGCCTCATCTTGCATTTGTATTTGGATRTGCAATGAACTGCTAAAAACAAAAAGGATACATTAAGTGCTTAAAACATTTAGCAAAAGGAAAATAAGCAGTAGTTTGATTTCCAGCACTGTTCTGAAACCAAAAGCAGCAAAACAGGCCATACTTAATATGAAATCTTCAGAGGGGAGTGTATTCTGCAGCRAGGCGAAGCAGAAACCCGACAGGAGGGAGCAAGAGAATTTTCCTGCTTCACCCACCCTCTGTGCTGCTCTGCTCCTGCCCGGAAGCATCTCCACATGGGAGAGGGTTTCTAGCCTGCAACACCCCTAAGAAACTGGAGAGCTGATGGATGATTGACACAGCTGTGAATTAACTCACCATGTTGCCACCCAGTCCTGTGAAACGTGTCACCCCCAAGCCCAAAGCTCTGGACAGACAAGCAAGGAGAGGAATCAGCTCCTCTCCCATCACTCTTCCCATTTTCCTACGTGTCTTAAGACCTCACCCCCAAGGCCTAAGGAGACAGAATTTGCTTCTTGGTGCAAGGAAGTATCTACTTCACAGTATTTTTATGGAAATGAAGAAATTAGGAGAGTAGACATAGAAGAATAAAACATAGAAAAAATGTGCATATTTAGTGCAAATAACTAGTTCGCAAAAACTAAGTAGAGTGCCCTCTAGATGCAAGCAACTGGAGTGAATCATGCAAATATTTACTTTGGTACAAGATTTGTTTCATTAGTCATGATATATAGGTCTATGCCAGGCTAAAAACTAAACAAAAAAGCAACARAACCTCAGCAGGGTCTCGTGTAAGTCGCCTTTGCGAGAGCGTGGCCGGGTGCAGCCTTCAGTCGGACACCTCCCTGCCAGGGACTCCCGGGAACCGAATCCCAAGCTCTTCCTGTTGGCCCCCTTGGTGAAAATGAATCCACAGCCCAAAGGGGCTGCTACACTCAGGTATCATGCTTGCTCTTCAAACTTCTTTCTTTTAAGGAAAGCTATCCTTTCTTTAAAGGCTAAGMCAAGAACACACACTGAATAATTTCAGAGGAGATGCTGAGCCTCACACATTTCCCTAACTTACTGGGCTTTCCATATGGAGAGAATTGTTAAAACCACTTTTGGGATCAGGGGTGAAGATCCCACCCGGTCCTCAAAGCAGGTGCCCGACTAGCCCAGGAGGAGCTTCTGGAAAGTCCCAGGTACCTTCATGTTCTTGACTTGGCTACCATGAAGGTAGTCATCTYCTTGATGGATCTTCATGTTCTTGACTGCTTCTACCACAGGAGAGGTCACTGCTCGCCCTGAAACAAKCTCACAGCTTGACAAGCCCCCAGGGAATCCAGACAAGCGAGAAGGCCTCTGGCCACTCTGACACGAAGAGCAGAAGGTCGGTGTCCTGGCAGCTCCTCGTGCCCACAGCCCCAGCCATGGCCACCCCGAGCGCAGCACCGCAGGACAGCTGGGACGCACCACAAGGCCGCCTCACCAGCGGCATCTGCTCCGTGTCCCAGYGTGCTCATGCACAGCCACTGCATTCTGGAGATGTAAAAACCATCCCAAACACCCGAGCCACAGCTCCCACCAGAGCAACCACCAGCACAGGTCACGCATCCCGGCCAAAGCAGGTGGCAGGCGGGCAGTAACAGGCAAGTCAACCAAGRCACGATAGTAACAACCACTGGGCTCTGGCCAAGAACTAAGAATAATTAGGACATTAGCATCACTAAGAGTAATTTGGATATTACTAAAATGTTGGTGTTCCCAGACAGCTTAAACAGCACAGGATCTGTCACTGATTCAGCAATGACTCTCGCTTGCTCCTTTTTTATGACAAACCCCAAACTCTCAGCTGCAAATCTGCAATGGGTACAAACATAACTACAGGTAGAGATAAATACATTTGCATTAATATAATGTACTTGACACAAAGAGACCCTGATATTTTGAGCATCATAATAATATAACTAGTACTGATACTGGCATAGCTTTTACTTGAAAAAAAAATCACAATTTCATGAAGCTTGCATAGCTAGAAAAATGATAAAGAATATCTGTATAAATGCAAAAAATATAGTGCACAAGTGATTGTCTTGTATGGAAGATATTTATTTTCATTACATTGTCTATAGAAATGGTTTTAGAGCGCTGAAGAGAGAGTTCAAAAAGGCACTGTTAAAAGGAAAGCACGTGCTCTTTTTTTGCTTACAAGTGCAAAATTAAAGCAAATATGGGCCTAGCAAGAAGAAAAGAGAGAAGAAAGTTTCACTTAGTTGCAGAGCAGAGTCTTTTAAAGGGCATCTGACCTGGAAGTACTTCTGACATGGCTCACGGGGCTTCAGCAATGCACCAGGACATAGATTATAATTTGAAATCTGAAAAGAGGGATCATTTAAGAATTAAAAAATGAAAACATAAAAGAGAAACACCACATTATAGAAGATCCTGAGCGATGTTACACACTCTAAATAAAGCCTAGYAACATAACAGCGATCATCTTTGGAGCTTTCACAGCTATTTGTCAAACATAGCGAGTTTCTTGTAGTGGGGCAGGCTAATCTACAGCTAACACGAGCAAGTCATTAAAAGCAACTACAACATCATTTTTCCCCATACATGCTTTCCTGGGAGCACGAGTCCAACTTTTTTCCTCTGGTTTACGCTACATGCTGTAGCGACGGCTTCCACAGGTTTGAAAATAGGTGATTTTCCTCTAATTACGTAACTAGGACTCATTCACGACACATCAGCCCTGGCAACATCAATGCAGSAGTCGGGCACAGAGACATGAGCAGCCTGCAGAATTAGTTGCTGGACAGATCCGACAGGAGAARCCACAAAGAGCAGGCCAAGCAGCTCCCTCCCGCACGGAGCAGGGCCTTCATTGCCATCTGTTCCTAAGCAGAGCATTGCCCTTGGAAGTCTCTGGTTCAGATGTGATTGATGCACACGTTGAAGTATTTCTGTCCTTCTACAATTATTTCACAGAATCACAGCATATTTAAGGTTGGAAGGGACCTCTAGAGATCATCTAGTCCAAYCTTCCTGTTCCAGCAGGGACACCCAGAGCATGGGGCACAGGGCGGCATCCAGGYRGGTTTTGAAGTTCTCCAAAGAAGGAGACTCCACARCCTCCCTGGGCAGCCTGTTCCAGGGCTCTGTCACCCTCACAGTGAAGAAGTTCCTCCTCACCTGGAGATGGAACTGCCTGTGTTGCAGCTTATRCCCATTTCCCCTTGTCCTATCGCTGGCCACCAATGGCCACYAATTTCTGCAGCTACGCTTGGGAAGCATAGCAAAGAAATCATACAAATATATCCATAAAACAGATTTCCTTTCTGTGGGGGTATCTGCTGAAGATGAAATGTTTATGACCAACAAAACCAGCTCTTGTGCTCGCTGCCTCRCGCAACGCCTCCCACTTCCAGCTGCTTCTCTTTCTGCCTGTGCCCTGGAAGTGGCCCCCCGGTACCAGCCGCCAGCCCCGCTGCCCGTAGCTGGGATTCTGCTTTCAGCGCCGGCCGCCTGCAGCAGCAGCGTCGCCTGCCGCTGCTGACGCTCTCGCTGATGGAGACCCAGCATGCTGATTTGTCTTTAAATAATGTTATTAAGCTTTAAAAAAAGCAACTGAGGATCCTGCAGTGAGTTCTGGCTTGTAAGTGCACTACGCCTTCCTGTCGTTTTTTTCTCTGCACGTTTCCATTCAAATTCCTTGTCCAAAAAAAAATTCAGGGACGAGATGCCTCTCGGAATGAGATTCTATCAGTCACAAATTAAAAACAAGATSAGGCTTGATTCTCTGCTCTTTTCCTTATCGCTTTAATATGCTTTATGCATCTAGATAATCCGTGTGTGTTTGACTATCTGATCTAACACTGTGCTGCATGCAGCCTACCTCRGTTAGCGCATCCTAATGGAATATTCCTAAATCAAGGGGGCACCTACACGAATAAAAAGCGCTAGTTTCATTTATATCAGGCACCACCACTATACGCTGTCAGGGTCATTTAGTAGGGGCAAAAACAAGATGGCATGGTAAGGATTTTTAAATTTAATTTTCCTCCTTTAATTTGATTGTCCCCCCGTGCCCAATGGAACAGCCTGGCAGGGAACCACAGTGTTGTCACTGCAAAAAGATGGAGCGCGTTTGATCTGCCGGCTGCTGCAAGCACAGACAATGAGCCCTTCTGCCACCAGCCCTTTCCATGCACACGGGCATGGGCTGTGCAAACCTCTGAGTCATTTTTTAATCTGCTTGTGTAAATTAAGTTCTCCAGCCCAAATGTTCTGGATTTTTTTTTAATCATCGTATGAATTTTCACTTGCTGCAGTACAGATCACACTTCAGCCTATTTATTAACTGCAAACAATTCTCCTTTAAATGAGCGTGCTGCTACAGAGAAGAAACTTGCACTTCATGTCTTATGTGGACTGAGACACACACCCAGATAGCACAAGTTTCTGCCAGTGAGAGGACAAGAAAGCAAGAAGGACCCAGTCTTTCATATGCCACAACTTCCATCTCAAGGACCACCCAAAAATGACTTTTACTGATTTTCGAGGTTAACAACGTACAGACAAACCTGATCTGAGTTGTCAGGACCGAAGAACGAAAGAATGTTTAAAAAAAAAGTAAAATAAATAAATGGATCTAACCCACATATTTCTGTTAGGAAAGAACAAAGAAAGCAAAACGCTTTCTAAAGCACCTAGACACCTAATAAAGTAATAAAAAGGAATCGATGATCTTAGATTTGGAAATGATTAAGACTGAATTCAAACCAAGGAATTATCAGTCTCCATGTAAATCTAACATAGATCATTCAAGAATCCTAAATCAGGAAGCAGAGCCATTCAAAGGATGATCGATTGCTGCATAGGGCTAAAGCAACTGGCAGGATCCATGCCCAGTGCCGGCTTTCCAACTGTTCCTATGGCACAAGCCCAACACCAAGCTCTTTGATCAGGAGATACAAGCATGGAAAGCAGAAAAGGGATTCAACCCAGGTCATGGCTTTACTAACAGAAGCAGCAAAAACGTTAACTGAGACGCAGTCCAATGCAACAGATGAGTTAAGTTCCAACACAGCATCAGTGCCAGACAAGAAAATGGCACTTTAACCCATCCCCTTAACCGTATTGTTAACAATATCTCCCACCCACCTTGCTCGAGGCTCTGCTGGTTGCAGACACTTGCTGCTCCCGCAAGGCTGCAAGCAGCATCTGCCCACTCAGCTCCTTGCCTGTGCTACCAGCCACCGGCCGCACACGACTCGCACGTGCCCTCTTCAAACTAATATATTTCAGCAGTGAAACCTCTGATGGCCTGGTATCATGCTTTACACAATAAAATGCTTTATCTGCCCTCTGAATTATATACAATAAATGTATAGCTGATTATACACTAGGCTGCTATCAAAGTTATCCATAAATGTTTTTAACCTTCAAATTAGCGGGCTGGCAGTAGTAACTTTGAGTCTTCTATTACCATTGCTTCATAACGGAGACCGTAAAATACATTTTAAAAAGCATGGCACACCACAACTATTTTCTTACTATTCTAAGGTTATACATAGTCTCAAGTTGGGATATAGAGACATAAGTTCAAAAATTAAATAAGTGGGAAACAATCTTTCAGTATAATTTCTACAATTCTACATGAAGAGAGATGAAGAATAAAAATGTGGGTWTATCAAAGGAAGAAAGAAGCTTCAAGAAATTGAAGCTCTGATTTSATCAATTTGCAGTGGTTGCAAATCACAGCAAATAGTTAACAAAAAGCTGAGGCAAGCGACCAAACTAATAAGCTTCCATATAGCACAGCCTACTGAAAGTATTCCATGGAGGTATCTAGAACTACATTTCAGCACCTAAATAAGACTGACATGATTTTAAGATAAAAAAAAGGCTCACTAAAAAAAAAAAAAAAAAAAAAAAAAAAAAAAAAAAAAAAAAAAAAAAAAAAAAAAAAAAAAAAGAAAGAAATCTCAGCAAGGCTGAGCAGTTGCCTAAAAAGCTACAAGTTGTCTTCAATGAAACTTTAATGGCACAAACAAGAAATACTTTCAAGTATATAAGCAATTTACACAGCAGTTGTTACAATACTACTTCAGCTGACAAATGCTGAGAAGCCCAAGGGCCGGATCCTACAGTAACACTGCTGAAAGTCACTGTGGTCCTAGAATATAGGAATGACCTTAGTCTGCTGAGCAAGCAGAGATCCTCAAGGAAGATGCAGTAATAGCTGAGAAATTTTTGCCTTAGTGCTCGCAGACAAACCAGAACCACCTGCCCATGAGGCAAAGCATCACATCAGTTTATGGAAGCAATAAAGCAAAACAGATCAATCCATAATAAAGTGCAAGTAAAACATAACAAAAAAGCAACTGCACTCAACGGCATTCAGTTTGCTAAAGTGTGGCTAAAACCATGGCTAAATTTCAACAAGCAAGGAAACTTGGCTGTAAAAGGCACAAAACAAGTGGAAAAGAACAAGCTAGCCCGATTACAAACCTGAATTTCCACCAGGCGTGATGCAACCAAGTTCTTGATGCATGGATAAAATACTTTTTTTTCCTCTTGTGCTATCATCACCTATAAATCTCTTCATGAGATACTCTGATAGAAGGGGCTTTAACTACATCCGTGCAATTTACGTGGGCAGATGCATATTTATGGAAGCTTTACTGCACTGACGGCCTGTGGCGCTGCCGTTCCCTCACCTCGGCACCCAGGCACGTTTGCAGCTTCTCAGCAGCACTACAGAAAACCGGGTCTGCTGAGCACAGCCCGAGCCGCACCAATACTAAAGCCTCCCTTACACCGAGATCCCGTTCCAGAGGCAAGTTCTGCACGGACTTCTGCWGGGATATCTACAGGAACAGAATTGAGCAGGGCCGGCCATGCAGCTGGCAGTATGGAATGTCACTGGATGTGACTTGTGAGCCCAGCGGCGGGAGACAGCGCGTCCACCAATGGCCGCACTTGGGAAGCTCAGGAAAACCAGGACTTAGGGTGTTCCTGGTGGGAAACCAACCCCCACATTTCTGCAGCGCCCATCTCTCTCTGCCATGCAGTATACTGAGTTATTTATAAGCAGAAGAGCTCTGGCAGGGGGACAAGCAGGACGAGCGGAGGCTCCGGCCTGGCTAGGCCCAGCCCAGGGCAGTGCGGCCTATGGGGAGTATCGCCCTTCGGCTCCACYCTGACTGCAGAGCAGCCCTGGACGGCTCATCCGTGTGGTATTTCCCCAAAGTGGGGTCCTCAACAAATCAGCACCCGCCAGGCATCTCCAAAACAAAAGTCCAGCCAGCTCTAATCATTCTACAGGAAGAATTATATCCATAAATTGTCCCATATGGTCACTAGCCTGGAGAAATTTTGAACAAATACATTTTAAAAATGTAATAGAACAAAACACTACAGTGAAATGAATCATTTCACTGGGGACAGGATATGGCAGGACAACCCATTCAGAGGTTCCTTCGAAGYACACAAAAGGCTTTTGCTCTGTGTGCAGGATCAAAAGTTTGGCCTCAGCAYGAGAGAAAACCTGAGGCTGCTTGAGCACCATGAACCCACCGTGCAGGCCTGCAAGCAGGAAAGAGGTTCTTATCACCAAACAGGAGGAGAGAGGGAAACACAAAGGCCAGGAGAAATACCAGAGAGCAGAGTCACATTTGCAGACCCACATATTCAGTACCTGGAGGCATTATATCCATAAGTATTTTCACAAGAAAAGCATAGGAAAAAAATTAGACTACCACACAAGGGAGGCTGTTGAGCTGGGATGAGCAGAGCCAGGGTTACAGCCAAGACTGCCTTCTTCATGGTCRGTAACCAAGAGGGATCACTGCTCTTTATTTTTCAGAAGTCTACACAAGCACAAATGAAGTGGTTGTATTGCAGCCACCTTGCCCTGACAAAACCAAAACTGATGAATTCAAGGTTTTAATTTCACATTGTAAACATCTTGCTGCTTCCTGTGCTGTCAGCACCAGTATTTMAAACATATTGCCTAGACTGTCTTCAAACAAGCTGGTTTTGATTTAAGCTGATTACAAGTTTCTTTGGATATAAAACTCTTTTCTATTCTCTTAAGAATACGCAATCCCATACTCATGAAATTCATGAAAACATTTAACATTTTATGTCATAAATGGATTAAAGATTATCTCACCACACAGAGAGCAATACAACTGCTGTGCTCTATACASACCTAATATTTTCCCTCACAGATCTTATTTTATTTATAGAAAGGTAGTTAGGTACACACAAGGAAGAAAAAAGTCAGAATAAAAGGCTTAAAAGCACCAAGTGCTTAATGGTGTAATATTAAGATTGAAAGAGTAAAGCTCTTYCCTTTGCTGCAATAAGTGTGAATCTAAAATACAGTAACTCAGATTCAAATACTTTTTATTTATGCAAAGAAAACAAAAGTGATACCTTACCATTTCTCAATCATCTAGTTTCTACTGGAGTGATACTACTTTTCAATGATCTATTCTACAAGCACTGCCACTGCTCGAAATAAACAAACTTCAAGAAGGTTCATTTGCCCTCAGTGATTTCATCCTTATCAGTATTTCCCAAAGAGTGCACAATTCCAATGCCACTATYGTGGATATGTCTAAGGCACTTACGTTAGGTAGTAAATACTGCAGCAAAAACAAAAAATAGGGCAAGTCTCCTGGCTTAGAGACCACAACAGGTTAAGAAAAGGGAAATTTTGGATAAATAAAAGCCATAAAGCCATCAAAGTAGATACTTTAATATGTCTGTGCCCAAACAGAGGAAGCTCTGACCTCACCATTTTGACAAAAATTTCTCAACTTGCAAATGCCAAGTTCTCAACTTCCTCCACCCCAGACAAACCACTCCAGTTCTTTGCCATCTTCAGCTGTTAAATTAGACAGGCAAAACATCCTAGGCTCTCCTAGCAATAACTTAATGCCCATTCCTTGTTCTAAGCAGGAATGGGGAAGGCTCGCTTACCTCCCTCTGTATACCAGCATTTTCTCTGTTTAAAGCTCTGAGCTTCAAGGCTAAGCATGAGACGTGGGTACTGTGTCCTCAGTAATGCCTGGGATGATGAGGATTAAAAGCTTGTGCCTGGGTTTCATGTCCAGTGAGTTGAACAGATGAGGGTGATTCTGCACTCTGGTGCTCATGCACTGGAGATCTCAGTCCAAATTCTAACATTCATTTATTTCCAAGGTATTAGTGTAGTCCATATCACAACATTACCATCTAGCTGTAAGTTCTCACTGGTCTACTATACCAGCAACACAAGTGTTTGTGGAGCCAAGCTAAAGCTAGGTGCCTCTAGTGATCCAGGTTTTAAAATAAACATTCCAGCAACAGAATGGAACAAATGAAACATAAGCAAGAACTTTTTAATTGCTTTTGATTCCAAGGAAAACACACRTGGGATCATACTCCTCTGTGACAGCAGGATGGGGAGCACTACAAAAGTGAACTCAACCCAGTTTCCCCTTAGGGCACCAGGGCTGGCAGCAGCCTTCTGGCCTTGGGGATCTGCCACACGCTTCTCCAGGGAAAAATCACTTCACACCACACAGCTTTTGGCAGGACCCACTGCGGTTCAGTGGCTGCACTTACACTAGCGTTCCAGACAACTGCTTACTAAATGGAAGGGGCAGGAGACAGTGTTCAGGAGCAGCTTTTGAACTTCCACAGAAGACAGTAGGAAGATAATGCAACACAAGATACAATAGTGTTGAACTCTAGTATAAATAATCTGAAGGTGTTGGTTGCAACCATAAGCAATTAATGGTGCATTTTAGGACAGGCTTGAGTCGTTTGTTAAGTTGAAAGTGCGTATTTCTGAAAACTGGGATATGAGTGGTGAGAAATAGCAGCTAAGCTTCTAAACACTTGCCTAACTAAGGCTGAAGACCTCAAAGACAAACGCAGCACACTGCAGTAGGCTCAGTCAAGTCCCAGTGCAAGCCATTTTAAAAAAAGTTCTAGAAACCAGCTTTGCAATTCTAACAGGAATCAATACACTTACCATCTAGGTATACATGCAATAGCGATGCCATTGAGTAGAATCTGTCAGCACCCTTTCTAAAGGCTATTTAACAACTCGTACCCTTGGCCGCCCTCGAAGCAATGAAGCGACAAACAGAGAGGCCCGAGGGCATACGTACACGAGCTGCTTGGCCGATAGTGAGCGCCCGGGTACCGCCTGCCCATGCTGCYGGTCAGCACATCGCCGCGCGTCGGCGGCCGCTCTCCAAGCGCGCGCTCAAAACGCCCAGCTGCGGGAAGAACAGAACACACAGGTGAGGGTTTAGTACAACTGCGGCACCTTTGCTATTTCATCAAAATGCTAATGACCCCGGCAAGTCTCAGGGTAACTGTTTTGAGGAATTGCTCATAGCTGTGCTGTCAGCGGAGATGAGCTGTTGTACTACTGATGCGACACTAATTTATCCTTATTGTTTGGCCCCTATTGATAAGCTCACACAAATTTTAGGGCGCAAAGAAGTTTCAGGCCACACAGGCCCTGGTTTTAGACAGAGCTACAAGCAAGGCAAARCCTTGCTAGCAGTTTAAAATACAACAGCATCTCAGTGTTGTGAAGCCATCACCACAGAACAAGCTTGCTTCAATTAATTGCATGATCTTCAGTGGGACCCAACGACTCAGGATTTGACCACCATACTTTTAATAAACTTTCTTTTTCATCTTGATTTGTTGGTTTGCATGTGCTGCAGATTACATGGACCTGAGCATTAATTAGCCCACTCATTCGGGTCCCACACAAATAGCCCCACTCTAGTGGAGCTCTGAGAGCAAAAGTAACTGATTAAAAAACACACCATGAGAATTTTCAGGCTATATAGCTGATGGATGGCTCATCTGAAGCTGAAAAAGTGTTCAATTATTATATACATATAYGTGTATGCACATAGTTGTGTATATAATGCAAATATCTTTCCGCGCACAGCTCGCAGCTGATCGGGGAACAGTGTAATCCAGGCACCAGCCATGCTCCRAAACCAGCAACCTGGCCACTTTTTCATTCTCCTCCCAGTGAATTCACACTGCTCCAACTCCTGCTCCTTCCAAGCCTTCTGGCTTGAAATTCCCTGCCCCACCGGCCAAMGCGACACCTCCGCGGCCTCCCTGGAAGCTCTCGCTCGGATGCTCTCCGTCCTCTCCAGCCTGGCGGAGCCCCCGCTGAGGGCACAGCCTCCTTATGCTTGCTGTTATTTTCTGGGCATCGTGCAGCCTGCCCACTTAGCTCAGCCTCCTGCAGGCTGCACAGGGATGCATGGATGGATGGATGTCACCGTGCCCCTCTCAGTGCTGCGGGATAATAACCGCACTTCAGAAAAGAAAACCCTGCTGTGTCCCTGGTTCCTACGGGAGGGCTTTGTTACAGACCTCTCAACTGCTCAAAACTGTTTTTCTGAAACTCAGTGTTTTYGGTGCTTCTATAGCCAGATTATCCAGATCAAACTTAATTCAAGTAGTTCATCATTACCCTGACCCCCTGCACCGATCAGAGAGATTTTCTCAGTAAAACAGCAGCTGCTTTTCTGTTTATTTATTCTACGTTGTCATCTCTATGTGGATTCTGTTTCATCACACAGAAAAAGAAGATATTAGGACATTTTATACATAAAATACATAATGATTATTTAGTTAAATGCAAAATAAAACACTGTCAATACTATTGAGAGCATGTTATAAATCCATATAGCTCAGCTCCATTTGCTCCAATGCAGCCATGCGAACTGACCTCAGCAAACCAGCTCTTTTTTTTTTTTTCTTAAAGGAATTTGTTAAGCTAGAAGTAATAAATATATAAAAAAAAATGAAGTAAAGAAATATCAGGTTATATCAGGAAATGTGAAATCTGGGAAGGGGGTGGAGAATTCACCTTCTAGCTTGTAAGCCACTCTGAGCCTGGAATGTGGCAAATCAGTGAGGTCAACAAAATTAAGAATTTTCACCAAAACACAAGGACAACGTTGGCAGCGCCCTATTCAAGTGTCCATATCCTAAGACTCTTTTCAGTAAATATTTAATTCTTTGTGCATTTTACAGGGAGCTTTGGTGCCTGCCACGGATTTCAAGACAGAACTTGGCAGCAGAAACGACCAGATGGGGCAGTCTTGGCCGGCCAAGACAATCCCTGCAGGTCCTGCAAGGTCTGCATCTTTCCACAAAAACAGGACAGGGAGTAGCAAGGGTCTATATGAGACTTAAGACACACAAATTCCCCACTGACAGCCAGTCAGTGGGAACAGTTAACTCAGTCCCTTAAGGGGGGCTGAGAATCTTAATGCAAAAACAGTGCAAATAGCTAAAGCAGAACATGTTAATAAAATACCTGAAATCACTCACCCAGAGTCTTAACAAATTGTTCAGTTTTCAAGGGGATCTGTGCTCTTTCTCACTTTGGCCTCACTCTGTTTACCCCCTTCTTTTCTAGAGGCCTTGGCAGGATGCTGTTATTTCTGCCTAGAAACAACGTCCCTTGGACATGTCAAATGAAGATGCATTAAGAAATAAGCAAATCATAGGTATTACTTCTACAACCTGCAGTATTTAAGAGGTGAAGATGCTTTAGAAACACTACTACTATAATTGCTTAGGACTGAGGCAGTCTCAATATGGTAAGAGGCTTAGGAATCTGCTGCTGTTTTACTTCATTTTCTGCCACCACAGCTCTGAGCTCAGGTCACTAGATTAGCACAGACCTGAAATACCACACCAATAACACTAAGACCACAAATGAAGTAAACCTCGCAATGGCCTTGCAAGGTCAGCTTTATTAACTTGGTCTTATGGGTGGGGAAACAGAAGAGGAAGAGGTTAAAAGGCCCGTGCAAGGTTTTAAAGGATGCTTGTGGCAAAGCCAAACACATAAAACAAGAATCCTAGTGTCTTTCTTTGCTTCAACCACTGGATGGTTTCATGCTTAATATAAACACAGGACTTGCTTTTTTTTTTTTTTGTAGAACAGATGTTACAGTACTGAATTATCCTATGAAGCTTTCTCATGCATAATACCAGAAAAAACTACTATCATGTGTTGCACAATAAATATAATTCCTAGAGTTTGTGTTGTAATGTGCTATGAAGTCACTACACAATGAGAGCAATTATCATCATAAGAGCAGATCTTCCAGTAAAGGCTAAAACCAGACAGTAATATCAAGGGTTGCAGTGATGAGTTTTGACTCTCATTGACACTCAGGTTAGCAGCATTTATATTATTCAGAGCTGACAGGAAACAGCAATACGTCTGAATGAAAATGTAAATGTCTCTCCTGAAAGCAGAGATGCTGCTCTGCTTTTGATGGGAAGCTTTTCAAGCACCAGAATTGTACCACTACTGTTCAGCCCTTCCTTCTTATTTTGTTTTGTAGGAATTAATAAAATTTTACTGCTGTTCTAGGTATGYAAAACTTGGGAACTGAGACAAAACAGAAAATTTCTGAGTTTGCCAGCTTTCATATAACTAATGGGATGGGCTAGAGCCTCCCACTTCAAACTAACACATCTGCCAATCCAAAAGTATTCATCAACTGTTAAAGAGGGGAAAGCAAGATCAAAACCACCACATTTTTCATTTTGTTATCATCCTCCTTTAGATAGCGGAATAAAGAGAATGATTTTATTACTCAAGAAAAATTCCTAATTTATCAATCTTACCCAGTTAGATATAAATAGTATTTTACTGTCTTACAAGGGCTCTGAGCATAGCAGAAATCTACTGCCAAAAAGCCACAAGTTCAAACCAAAACCATCACAATTATTAGAAGAGAAGCAACGTAAAAAGAAACCAAAACCTGCACCTATTTTTCCTTCAATGGGAAACAGCTCCTTGTTCCACCATTATCAGGGTGCCGGGTCCATTCTGCAAATGCTCCCGTCTCAGGTCCAAGCAGCCTCTTTCGGGGCTTAAACCCCAGAATCAAGCCACAAAATTTCTGCAATATTCTTGTTATTCCTTCCTCCTGTCATCAAAGTTGCAGTTCTTATTTTTATTTAAATTAGAACACTGTGTTCCCAGTGCACAATCCTTGGAGCCCGAATCACACAGTGCAGGTCACACACGGGCACCCTGCGGCAGGGATTCCTCTCAAAAAAGGAAACCCTCTCATACACCATATTAAGGTAGCAGGTCCGCAAATGCTGCATGATTATTAGCCAACTGGCTACATTACAATTCATAATTCATAGCAGATGAATGATGCTGAAGGAAACCAACTTTAAAGAAAGGTCATTTTATCTGTGGCAAAGAAAGGCATTATGAGTCTTTCTTCAGGTTTGATTTTGATCTCAGAAGTAGCATGCAAACTTTCACGGCACGCACAAACCCAAGAATAGCCACCCAGGGTATCTTTAAGGGACAGTAAAACCAGACAGACTTAGAGAATTGATAGCTAATCACAGGCACTGGAAAGAATTTTGATACAGGGAAGAGAACACAAAACRCACAAAAAAAGGACCAAATAAATAGTTGAATGAGGCAAACTGGGACCTTCGAGTCATGGTTTCCCATGAAAAAAGGAAAATAAAGATTAATCAAAAGAGTAGGAAGGATTAACGGATAAAAAAGAAGCAACGAAAATTACCATTAACAATAATTTAATAATTAAGTTTAGCATCTATATATCTAAGATAACTTAATAMGCGATTTTGTCATAAAATGTATTCATGAAGCCTGCCAGTTACGCAAAATTTCACAGCTCTTCTGCGAGGAGATGGAGTCACCAAAAGGAAAAGGCAACATCCCGAGAAGGAGCACAATAGAAATGTAATGAGGTGAAATAACACAAAAAGCAAAGCTCATTCACTCAGGGAATCGCTAAGGAATCCTGCTGTCAGGGCTGGGCTGGGAACATTTGGAAATCATGGGAGATGTTTGGAAATTATGAGAGAAATCGTGCTTGCACCAGCACAATTAAGGGAAACACAGGAACGGGGAGACCACCAAGGAGCAAGTTTTTACCCGTGCTGGGACACCAAGAGCTGCCCTGCACCAGAATGAAGGTGGAGAGAAGCAACAAAAACTTCTAAAAACGTCGTGTTGGCACCCAAATCAAGTGCATGTAAAGCAGTTGCTACTAAATTGAGGCTAGCAATCAGAATAGACCTAATTAAAAGAGGAACATGGTCCAAGAATCATCTAACAATGAGGTAAATTAGCTCCAGCTTAAGAGTTATGAACTGCATAATATTATGGGGTTAAGCAACTAAATGAGGACTGAATACAAGACTATGTCTAGTCTTTCAG